CTTTGGCCGATCTTGAGGCTGGCTTCCTTCAGATGTTGTAGAAGCACAGGACGGGGAAAAATTTATTTTAAATTCTAAATTATTGCCTTCTAACCAACTTTTATTTTTATCTAAAAAACTGTTACACAGCAAAATTGCAGCTAATTTTTTTTACAAAAATATGTTTATCTTTAATGATATTTAAGCGCTAATGATTTAACACTTAAAAACGAGTACACTAATTAATATTTTGAATTTTTCTCTAGGAAGTATTCAGTAATATTATGGGAATATCTACTAATTGGTTCCTTGAATTGACTTTTGTCCAGCTAGATTGTATGAACCGATTCACTGTGCAACAATTTGAAAAAATAAGTTTTTCTTTTAAATTATTTTAGTCAATAGATTTTAGATTTGTCGATTAGTATGTTATATGCAAGCCAAATGTTTTTTACATAATATATCTTTCTTGTTTAATTTATAGCGCCTTTAGTGTATTAATAGTTTTCATTTTCAGTTTTAATAAACTACTGAATAGTATACAACTTAATGTTTTAGTTCAAACCATATACAATTTAGATTCTTTTTTAAAGACTTATGCAACTTAAAAAGAAATTCTCCTCTTACCATATAGTATCGAGAACAAAATTTCGGTTTTATTTCAACACACTCGATATCATTCTCCAATGATGCATTCATTTTTTTGTTTCAAAACTCCGAGTATTAATTCTTGCACAAAGGTATTATAATCGACTTCAAAATAAATAATATATATATATATTTTTTTTTTGTACCATTAAAGAATTTTTTGATAACAATGGATCTTTTTTTCCTCAAATTTTTATTCACTGTTTAATTAAAGTATACTTAATATATTAGAAAAAAAAGCAGCAAAATCAACTAAACACTTTTTTATTACATTTAGGTGCTCAAATATAATTTGAGAATATAATTGTAATATAAATGTAATAAAATTTATAATCTTCATTATTAGTTATTAATTTTTTTTTATTATTAAAAATTTTTATTAGTTATTAAAGTCGGTTTTGTGTAAAGCTGACATTGTACTAAATCATGTTTTTCTGTTAATTGAGATTTTAAGGTGCACTTTTAATCGTGCACTATTTCTATTTTAGCAACTGCACTCTTTCTATTTTAGCAACTGCACTATTTCTATTTTAGCAAAAGCACTATTTTAATCGTGCACTATTATTCGTGCACTTTGAATCAAAACAAAAACGCTTCAAACAATAAACTTATCAGCAAAAATAATAAAACGCCACAAATTTTTGTGGATGAAAATTGAATCCATTTGTTTGTAAGTAATTTAACCATTATCAGTAAATAAAAGTGTTACAAAAATCAAATTAATTTGAAATTTTTGTTGCGAAAAAAACCTTTTGGGGTATGGTACACAAATAGATGGTCACATTGGTATAAATCCCGAAATCAGACTATTTCCTCCGTGAAGAAAGTGATTTATATCTATGTGATATATATTTTTCTAAAGACAAAAACAATATATAACTAAAACTTCTTAACACAAGGGTCGGACACTGTTTCATCTAAATGTTTTGTTAATACTCTGAAAACATTAAACTTAAAAAGAAAGTAAACTTCAAATTTAAAAATAATAAGGTCGTTTAATCTATTGTTTAAAATGCATACTTGCTAATGAAGTTATTTAAACAGCTCATCATTTTCACGCAAGAAGTCTATTCTGTATCTCTCTAAGTAAATAATATCTCAAGAAACCATCTCTTTCTTTCAGATTCCATTCAACTCCTCCATTCAATCCAATCTTAAGATTATTGTCTGATCCTGTGTTCCTCATCTCAATTCTTCTCAGTACATTCAAGTCTTTGAAATATACCCAAAACCTTTTTGACTCTGAGGTGTTGCTTTTTGTTGCACCACAAATTTTTAAATCAGCAGACAAGTCAGACAGATGTTTTTCTGGGAAATAAAACTTGGCTCGCAAGTTTTTTTTACGGAAATTCTTGTGGCGTCACTTGATTTAAAGTTAATGTAAGTTTGTATTCACCACAGTTTGACAATCCAGTCTGGCTTCAAACAACAAGGAGATTTCGGCAGTTAAGTTAACTGCAGCTGGAAATAATTCTTTTTCAGAATATATACTAATTAGACCGCCTATTTGGGTATTACCATGCCCTAAAAACTTTTCCTCGGGACGTAAAATTTAAATAATTTTGAGAGGTGTGACGACTTTCAGAGATATTTTACAACACTAATGGAGGATGAATCAGTCTGAATTTTCTACGACATTAAGTAAACTTAGATTCATCTGGCCAATGCAATTTACAAACAACGCTTTAATTGGTTACGGTTCAATTTTTTTTTCAAAGTTATTTAGGTGCCCCAAGAAACCTTTACGGTCTTATCACAGAGCGCCGTGGATGAGCATTTTAATAGAAAGTTCATGCCTCTTTCCTAACCGATGCCGCAAAACTTGCCCAGAGGTGGGATTTGAACCACGGATCCATTGTGTCTGAAACAAGTTCGCAACCACTGCGCCACGGCTGCTAGTTTTTAACGATGTAAAAGTTTAAACGAGGGAAACTCATAAGCCCTTAGTTTGTTTCAGATATTTCACAAAAAAATTTTCTTATAGAAATTTATAATTCATAGAACCTTTTGGAACGCAGCAATTTAAAGGAATTATAAATTAAATTACTTAAATTTATCAAACAATGTCTTATAATGTTTTTCAAAACTAGCAACCAAAAATTGACACCATTTCCAAACAAAAATTGCTTTTGTAAGAACTTTTTAATTCAGTTTTTTTCTTTTTAAACTTGGTAAAAAGGTCTTACACAGTGTTTCAGTTATTTAGGAGCTCTAAGAAATCCTTATGGTCTTATAAAAGAGCACTGCGTAATTGAATTTAATCTAGAAGTTTACGCCTTCTTTCTTACCAATGATGCTTTTGTAGTCAGACCCGGCTTCGAAGCACAGTTCTGAAATCAGAACTCTAACAACTATAACATGGCTGTTTAACTTTTTCAATTACTATTCATAAAAAACAATGTTGTTGCAAAAAAATTTAAATAATAATGAAAAAGATGTGATAAATAAAGTCTCAGGAGAATTGAAACAAGCAATAATATTTCCATAGTCTGGGAATTTTGATTTGACTAAAACGCGTTTTTATTTTAATTCAGTTGCAAATAAATAAAGGAGAAAAATGTTACTAAAAGCAACCATTAAATGATTATGCTTCCAAAATATCTTCAAACAGCGGCCAAAAATTCAGAAATATTTAGCCTTCAAAAATGTTTATGACAGAAGCAACATTCTGCTGCAAAAAAATATTTTGGATGCATTTCTGAGGAAAGACTCTAAGCTCAAATGAAATGGTCAAGTTACTCTTGATGCTAACCAGCCCTATTCTCCCCTATGCCATTATAGAAGCAGTAGTTGCCTATGATGGCATACTTCTGCTTTTTTTTAAAAATAAAAATAGGGTTATTATTATTCTACATGTAACAAATAATGTATCTATATCAAAACTTTTGCTCTTGGTCTTCAGGATACTGAATAATGAAATTTCAAAGTTGAGTATGCCATCATAGGCGCCTTTCCCCTACTTAAATATGCTAACGTACACCAAATTTATGAAAAATAGTAATCGCTTTGACATATTAATCTATCGCCCTATATCTATATAAAATCTTTCCAACGGTAATTTATAATAGAATCTATAATAATTTTACAAAAAAGGTTTGTTTTTTTATTTTTATTCGAAAACAACACGGATTTCAGAAAAATCATTCAATTGACATGTAGTTATTGAAATAGTTAACCAAATGATAGCTTTGACAAAAAAAATGTACTTTAGGAATGTTTGTTGATATGTTAGGGATTCAACGCCTTTGTTCACTAAAATTTTTCATAAAAACTAAAATATTATGGTATATCTTACAAATAGAAAACAACGTTTTCTATTTGATATACCATAACATTTTATAAAATCCGGAATCATAAATATTCTGTAAGGAGTACCTCAATCATTATTTTTGGGCCCGCCCCTTTTTTTTAGTTTATTTAGTTTAACAATACATCAGTAATAATAAATTCTAACAAAGGGCGGATCAAAAGACTTAAAACTTAGCAGTAAAAAACTTAACAAGGTCCAGGGTCCAGGGTCACAGGTTAACAAGGTCCAGGGTGCTTGTATAAAAACTTTAGTGCCAAAAAAATATAAGAATTAAAATTATTGATTATGCTGTACCCTGGAACCAAGATCGCATTTAGGCTCCCCACATCCTTGAGTAAGATAATACATAGTATTATTTGGAGCACTTTTTAAAGTTAAAAGAAATTCTTTTAGAAAAAATATTGTTATACTACTATTAATATAGAAAAAGATTTGTCATTTTAATAATGAAATTAACTAATTTATGCAAACTGTTAAGTAAAAAAAAGCTATAATTTTATAAGCAACAATAAAAAATTTTTTTACACATCTGAAATCTTAACCTTTTATAAAACAGAACTAAAAGGTTTGTGGTTCGATACCGGCTCTGAGAAGATGAGCGACATAAAGATGAGCGGTAAAGATAGAGGCGTGAATTTCCAAGTTAAATGTTGTGTGATAAGACCGTAAGTAATTTTATGAGCACCTTAGTAACTATAAAATATGTAAAACAATATTTTTATTTTAAATTAAGAACACACTGCAACAGAAGAAAGCATTTTTAAAAGTGCTTTTAAACTTCTTTTTTTTTAATAAACTCATTTGCAACAAAGTTGCAAGCAACCACTATTTAAGTTCTGTGTTTAACTGAAAGGAAAGAAGTTAAAGAACTTAAAAGTGTTTGATATATGACCTAAAATAAACGGAATGATCAACCAACTAAAAATAGAATGATCAACCAACATAAAAATAGAATAATCAACTAACAAAAAAGACATTTTAAAGTTTATTAAAACACTTTATTATTAACACATATAAAAGAAATATAATTAAAAAACATAAATAAAGACATAAATCTACTTACCGATAGCGGATTTTTCTTTTATCGTTTTGCTTCCACAAAATTTACTGAATAATTACCAGTTGCTCTACACTAACTTCTTGTGACTCGAGTAAAAACTAAAACAGTTTAGTTTGATCTGACACGCGCAGAAGGCATCGCGATTCACTTTGTTCCAGCTTAAAACTATTTCAAGGAAAAACACTTTCTCTTAATTTTTTTTTTTAATTTTTTCAAAATTATCTAAATTTTTAAAGCAAGACAAGCAATGAATTCGCTATATGACAAAGTTATTGTAGGTTAAGCAAAAAAAATTATTACAACTTATGCAGCCGAAAAAATTTCATAACAGAGCAAACAAATTGGGGTAAAAGGTGAAACTAAAACGGTTTACGTCATTAACTTAGTTTGTCAATGTGTAAAAGGTATAACTCTATTATACCGTTACTTGAATTGATAATAATTTACAAATAATGGTTTCAATTGGAAGAGCAACAGATGTTAAACGAAAAGATTTTTTAGTAAACAAGCTTTCCAGTGTCGAGGGCGTAAATTTTTGTTGTTTGCATAAAAGATATGACCTTTAATACCTCAATTTACAATAAATGGCAATTAAAAAAAGTTTTGTTTTTACAAAGAAAAAAAAAAACTTTTATATTTAGAGTAGCTATATAAACGGTTGCAGGTTGAATTGTAAAAATTTACAAATTTTTATATACGTAACAAATAAGGTTCATAGAGACAAAGCAATCTCGTTAGCGACATTTTATCAAGCGATCCTGCAACTTGTGTTTGAGGATCTTTAGATAAAACCTAAGCTTTTTGCACAATCTTAGTATGGCTTTACAAATTAATTTTCAAGAGGGTATTGTGAATAACCGAGAATAAAAAAATATATTTTTTATTAATTCTTTAATACAAGTTTTTAGGGAAAAAAGTTTTAGCTTGATACTTTTTATATAAAGAACCTTTAAACACCTTTAAACTGTGTGATTTGCCATGCCACCCTACAAAGTAGCTCTTAAAAAAGTACTTGTTGTCCACCAATGTAAAATAATGGAGTGATATTCTTTTCTGTTTATTTAGTCTTTTTATAAGAAGATTTAACTTTGAACTTGATTATTGAATTCAGAGCTTAATCTAAACTGAAAAAACGGTATTTATGCCATTAAATGCGTTGTTATGTGAATGATGTAATAAAAAAAAATAACTTTAAACGGTGTATGTAAAATAATTTAAATATATGTCTTATATTGAACAGATAATATTCTATTTTTAAAACGTTTTAATTTTTTTTTTTTTTTGACAACTTAATAATAATTACAATTAATTATATTTTTATATGACGTTATTGAAATATTGTTTACCTTCAGTAGGGTTTTTTTCAACTGCTAATTATTTGCCGTAACCATACCAACCATAATAAAAAAAAAAGATAAAGAGTAAAAGTAAAAAAGAATTTTTTTAAGCCTTAAAACAGGCATAAAACAGAAAAATCTTACTTTTTTACTAAAGATATTATTTGCGCATATCAATTGCATGTATTGCGCATAGCAGTATAAAATATTTATAGGCAGCCGTGGCACAGTAGTTAGAGTGGCTCGGAACCAAGAGGTTTATGTTTCTACGCTAGCTCCAGTTCAATAAGCGACATTCGTAGGGTAGGAGGCGTAAACTTCCTGGTTTAATGCTCTTCCATGGTGCTGTGTGGTTAGACAGAAAGGTCATCTTGGAACAAAGAACAAAAAAAAAAGCAAACCAAAAGTTTTAAATACTGAAAAGTCAACCTAACTAAGGATATATAGTGTTTGTTTTTGTTTTGTTTACAGTGTCGCAGTCAAAAAAATTTAATAAACTTGTTCACAAATTATATTAAAACCTCTCGGTCTCAGTTTTATTAAAACCCCTTGGTTGCAGTTTTCTACTTGTTTTTGATAGTTTTTCGATATATAAAAATAAGATACTTACAGAATAAAAAATAATAACAGAATAAAGTTCACAAAAATTTTGAAATTAGAGTAAACAAACATATTTATGTTTAACAAATTGTAGACCCCACGTTCCTGGCGGCGACAATGACGTTGTAAGTTGCTCTTTATTTTTACTTCCCTATGAAATATTTGCATAATTTATTGTGAGAATAAATGAGTAAATGAGTTGAATTAAAATATATTTAGTTTGATAAATTTTTTTTTTTTTTTTCATTTTATCAAATTGGTCCTTAAAAAATCAATTTGTTTTTTATGAATTATTCTCATCAAGATAAATGCCTAAACTATTCTCATCTTTTCATTTGATCAATACATGTTCAAAGCTAATCATTTTTTAACCGGGTGTGATAACACTTTTTTGATAGGGTGTGAAAAAAAGTTTAAAAGCGGATTTAAAAGTTTGTTATTCGAGTTTTAATTCATAAATTATTTAAAACAAATACTTTTAAAAATAAAAAACCGAGTTTTTTTTATTTTTTAAATTGCTAATTTTAAATATCTTTTATAGATTAGTTTCTATTTTCAAAATCAAATGATATTTGGGAATTTAATATAACTTTTTCTTCAAATACTTTGATGCAAGAAAGTTTATTTAATAAACTTTCTTGCATCCGTACGCGAAAACTAAAGGGATAGACTTATAATAAATATTATCGTAAAGGAAAACACATTTAAGTTAAATAAAAAGTTGATTTTTTAACCATGAAAAACACAAGATGCTAAAAAAACTCGTTGAAAAGCTACAAATTTGTTATAGTTTCACCTATCCATGATTTTTTTATTTACTCACATTAATTTCACTATGGTAATTTTACTTAATATTAGTTAATAGTTTACCAATTAATACCTATTTCAATATATGAGCAGACGTTAAGCAGTGGTTAAAGTTGTTTCTTCAGAATCAAAAGATCAGAGGTTAGGTGCCGACTCTGGAACTCTCTCTCTCTCTCTCTCTCTCTCTCTCTCATATATATATATATATATATATATATATATATATATATATATATATATATATATATATATATATATATATATATATATATATATATATATATATATATATATATATATATATATATATATATATATATATATATATATATATAAATTCAAAATAGTTTGATAAACAAAAAATGAAAATACATCATTTACGTTGACATACTATTTCTTAACTTAATAAAAATAGTTTTATTTTATATAGTGTTTTCATAAAGTTGGAGCCAATTTGTAAACTTAGTACGTTGCAAAAATTTGTTATTTACACTAATGATGTCATTGCTGCGTAATATTATAAAAGTTTTTATATTTAATAAAAAAGATTTCCAATGGTGAGTCAACATTAGGATGCCTTTATCTCTGTTTAGAATCTTATTTTTAGGGTAGCAGCATTGCAATCTGTCTTTTTCAATAGCCTTGCGGATTTTTCTAATGCAATTATTTGTTATGAAAGAACAGGGCCGACGACACCGGGTTCCCCCTACTTTTTTTTGCGACGTAATGTTTTCAAAATTTTTTAGTTTTACGGAAAATGGTTTCCAATAGCGATTCATCACTAAATTAAATAATTATATTAAATTATTACCATAATCTAAATAATATGTGTAAAATAGTATATTCATTATTAAATTTGATTAGATAAAAATCATTTAGAATTTTGAATCTTTTTGTACTCTATTAACATGCAATGTCTCACTGTGCATTTAATATGATTTTCAGTGAGATTATTTATCACAACAAAAGCACAGCGAGAAAATGTTTTGTTTTAAAAACATACGAGCGATTGATTTTTTAAATATGAATTAAAATTTTTTAAATCTATTGAATAAAAACTATCCCATAACCTTTATATAAAAGTTATTTTAACTTAAAAAGTGCAATAAAAGAAATACTATTTTTTAGTTAGGTCAAGTAATTACTACAGTTAATGTGATATAATTTCAAACAAAAGTAATGTAAAAGAAAATGCATTTAAAATGAATATATATATATATATATTATATATATATATATATATATATATATATATATATATATATATATATATATATATATATATATATATATATATATATATATATATATATATATATATATATATATATATATATATTATATATATATGTATATATATATATATACACATACATACAATATATATATTGTAACAAAATTATAATGAGAAGAAATATTTAAACTAATTTACAAGTTTAAATATTGTTTTTAATACACTAAGATAAATAAGTGAAGTTAAAAAAACAAAAACCGCATGAAAATTAAAATAATAATATTAAAATATTAAGAACATACATTGGAACGCAAAAAAACTGCGTTTTGCGTTTGCGTTCCAAAAAAAAAAACTCACACGCAAACTCAAACGCATTAGACGCAATTTATTGCTTTTATTTACGTAAACGTAAACGCAATTTACGCGTTTACGCACGCAGCATTCAGATTATGACAATATATAAAATTTGCAACCCCTCAAATTGAGGGGGTTTTAAACTTTATATGGTCATAATTTTTGAACGCTAAAATATTCTACTACACAGTTTAAAATTTATCGATGAATATAAGTTTAATTAAAAATAGTAAAAAAAATATTTCATCAACTTGTTGCTCTCACGTTTGATGCAGGGGGGACAAAATTTTTGGGCTTTTTTGTTTCCAAGCTCCAATCATCGCAATTTTTTGCAAAGCATCCTTTTTTGACATTAGTATAAACATATAAATGTTTGGAGTTTGCTCCATGTTTGGAAGTTAGCTATCTTAAAGACATAAAAATGCTCGCAGCGCCCCTTGGATATCGTGTAGCTCCTTAACTGCTCCTAAAATACAAACTTTAATATGGTAAATTAAAATATTAAAATAATTAAATTTATAAATTAGGTTTTGAAGAATTATTTTTTAAACTAAATTTTAAAACTTTTTTTTTTTTTTAATTAAATAATATAACTTAATAACAAAATAACTTTAACAATAAATTGACAATCAGATCTAAAGAACCATAATTTAAGCTTTGAGATAATTAATAGTGATGCTACTCGGAAATAAGTTTTTACTGAAACTTTAATTAAAAAGAAGAAGCTAACAAGTTAGCAAACTCTTTTCTATTTCCTTTTAATTCCATTCTACTTCATTTTGAAATCTTAATAGTCAATGCAGGCAAAACATCAGCAATCGATGAAAGATTTTTTTGTACAATTAAATGGTATGCAGAAGAAGGATTTGTTTTGATTTGATTGGACATTTATTTTCCAAATCGAATGGATTTCTTTTATAATTCCTTTAAAAATTCTGTTACAATAGGAAAGCAACTGACCAAAAATTCCATCAAAACTTGTTTGTAATTTAGATTTATTTTTTATTTGGTAATGAACGTTATTTATAGATTAATTTGTGCTTCTTGTGTACTTTGAATGCGTTGCAAGTAAACGACACAAATATTTGTGTTTCTTAATAGCAATACGTGCAGCAACCTTTGTTTTATGAGCAGCGGAAGAAAACCTCAGTAGTTTCGATGTTTCCAATTCTATTTTTAGCTCTTTAATAATCTCAACACTATCAAGATCGTATTCATTATCATCGTTAAAGTCATAAGTGGTGTTTACTTTCTCTGCTGTTTTGGATAACTGAACAACATTTGTAAAAGTAAGCTTTGTTGATTCAGGTGATAGCACTTCAAGATCCGGTGGAAAAAAGATAGCCAGATGATAAAAGACGTGTTTAAAGCGTCTAAAACACGTATTTTACACGTAGTACTACTTATTTTATACGTTTCAAACGCGACTTTTACCAATAGGTAGCAACTAGCTAGCTATTCGTTAGTTAGTTGCTAGCTCATTTCTCATTGGGGAGGTCCATCAGAGGTTTGAATTTCAATATCTAAAACGTCATCTTTTAACGATTTTTTAGCTGCTCATTATCTGCTTTTTCAATATAAAGGGCAACCTCTTGGTTCAGCAATTGATCATCTTCATATGCACTATCGCCACCTTTCGTCTCCTCATCTCTTTCTTCTAAAGACTTTTCAAATCGCTTAAACAGTCTGACTAATGAGCTCCTTTCATCACATGGAATAGCTTTTAAATATAATATAACTAAAGTAATTAATAAATTCATTGTGATTAAAAAAGCTTTAAAATTAAAAAAAAGTAATAAAATTAAAAACTACCATTTATTTTGGATCTATTAAAGGTATTGATAATCTTTTCAACTCCGAATTTAATATTTTCTGCATTGTGACGTCTCGTCATCTGTTCCATACCAATAATAATGATTTCTTTTTTTAAATCACTGTTCGTTAATGTTGAACTAACCAAAATAAAATCTAACATTTCAGGAGATGTACATATATCACTAAACAAAGTGACAACCAGGGCGCGTCGTTTAATTTTTTGTTAACTGTGTTTAATAACTTTGCCATCGTTTCTGGTATCAAGCTTTCTCTAAAACTTTTTGCAAAAGGAAGTGGGACTTTTTTTCTCAGAAAGGGAAAATTAAACGCATTAATTAAGCAATTCGATGTAATAAATAACTTGATAACGTTCAAAATATTGGCATTTAGCATATTTCGCTTTTTATTTGATTTGTTTTGCGTGTCATATGAGTCAAAGCACTCACCCAAAATGTCATGGCGTTTTATTTGTCAATGCTTTTTAATGTTGGATGTTCGACCAATACAAGCAGTGAACTTTTAATTGCACAATATGCAAAAAACTTAACATCATCTTGTGATTTATTTATTTGAGTATCAAGTGTAGTGAAATGAAGGTATGAAGTATACTGCTAAAATATATAAAAATCATACGCTACATTGTACTTAATAATTTATTAAATCTATGAAAAAGTAATTTAAATACCAGTTCAATTAAGTTCATAATAAACTTCTTTTTCGGAAAAATGTTTCTTCGAAAAAAATCTTACATTTTGTTTATCAAATTACACGAGTCTTCAGATAACTTTGCCAAAAGATTATAACCCTGAAACCTTAACCTCGGGTCTTGCTGAATAGTAGTAATAGAAATATTGAAAGATAAAGTATTATTTGAAAACTTTGCCGATAATGATGTCAACGCTGCACTTGTTGTCTGCATAGTAGATTTAGTCGTTTTTGTAGGATTTACAGGTCTTGTTCTCTTTGAAATTGTTTCTCCAGATTTGAATGCAGAAAAACTTTGAGATAAATAAGGTTGTAATTGCAACTGTTGTAATTGCGATATTTATTCTTTTTGTCGTTCTTTTAAACTAGACTTAAGATCTTTTCATAAACATCTTATCTAATATGACTCATCGATCTCGCAAGATTAAGCTCTTTTATCTCCTCATAAAAGATCTTACTCTTGCGAGATCGATGAGTCATATTAGATTAGATGTTTATGAAAAGATTAATTAGGTTTTGTTTCTTAAACTAAATTTTTCTTATACTATATGTGTATATGCTGCATATCCTTATACCTTAAGGAAATGCCTATAGGAAATGCCTAGGAAATGCTATAAGGAAATGCCATAAGACATTCTTTAAAAAAATTATCACGTGATTTAATATGCTTTTAGGTCACTTTATAACGAGTTAAAAAGTAATTGAACGCTGTACTTCGAAAACGTGATGAGTCACAAAATTAAAATTTTACAGGTGAGTGAAAAATGTTTCTCCTGTAAAAAATTTTATCTTTATTTTATCTGAAAAAATTTTTTTTTATCTATAAAAATCTTTATTTTATTTAAAAAAATCTTTTTTATTTTTGTCTTTCTAAAAAAAGCAACACTTTTTTCAAGTAACATCACTTTTGAAATATGTGTGACGTTTTCAAAAATACAACGTTCAATTATCGATTAAATTTGTTAAAAATGATGTTTAATTTCTTATTATAATGACTCCTTTTAAAATGAGTGTATGAGTTTAAATTGAGTTTAAAATGAGTTTACTTATTAAAGTTATTAAGTTATACTTTTTTCTAAAAATAGTTTTGGTTAAAATAATAGTACCGTATACAACTGAGTATTATTGTATTCAATTTGAGAGCGAAAAATAAGTTTTTCCTTTGTTTTAAGCAATTTTTAAAGTGTGCGTTGACCAGTCACAGTGTTTTTGTGGTTGATTGCTCGTTTTAAGCAACTCTTTTTATATGTAAAAAGTTCACTTAAAAAGGTAGACGCTCACTCAAACTTTATGCTTAAAGTTCCCGCGTGCGTTCACCACTCCTAAATTTAATTTTTGAGCCGTTAAAATATGAGTTCATTCTCAAATTACATGAGATAATAAATTTTTGATATTTGGAGGAAGTAGTGGGAAATTTGTGACGTCACCAAGGTCGGCGCGATAGGGGTGTGTGGAGGGGTGTGACACCCCCCCACCCTATCAATAATTTTTAGTCGGCAAATTGGACCCTTAGTCGGCAAATTGGACCCTTTTAGACTAGTTAGTCGGCAAATGTCGACCCTTTCGATATAGGTTAGTCGGTAATCTAGACAGTCGGCAAATGTCGTCATTGCAGTCGGCAAATTTTGGAAAACCTTTTTTTTTTTTTTTTTAGTCGGCAAAATGTAATGGCACCCCCCCCCCCTCCATGTGACACCTACTCGCGCCGGCCCTGGACGTCACAGCTGATTTGATCAAGTTCTTAAACTATTTATAGCTCCAAATTATGGCATTTTACGTATGCATTGGTAATGTAATGGCATTATATTGCATTGCAAGTTTTTGAAAAAAATTAATAAGTAATAAACGGATAAGTATAAAAAAAAAGAAAACAAAGACAAATGAAAAAAGACAAATGAAAGAGAAATGAACAATTTTGATAAAAGTAGGGTATTGTGGGCATGATGCCCATCTTCCTTAAAAAATTTTATTGCGCACAACAAATAATTTTCCTATTTAAATGTTCTTTTTTTGTATCAACGTTTACTTTTAAGAGAAAACATTGAACAAAAAACTACTTTATTATTTGTAATAAATAAAAAAAAACGAAAATATTTAGTTTTAATATTTATGTATTGTAATGAAAGAATTACACGTTTTTAAAACTAAATAACCACAGGACGTTTTGCCCCACATATAAAAATTGCATTTTTTTTTCACCCAAAACTAATTGCAAATAGACTAGTTTTATTGATTGAGTTTTCGTTTACGAAAACGAAAACTAAAACGAAATTTATTTTAAGAACGAGAACAGAATAAAAACGGTTATTTTAAATTTTCGAACGGAATAAAAACTGAATCGAAACTTATTTTAAATCGAAAATACTTTCGTTCAAGTTTTTAAAGGAGTTGAATTATTTAATATATATAATTATTATATTATAATACATTATAATGGTATATTCAAACTTAATTGAACTTTATTCAATTAAGTTCGAATTAAGTTCGACTAAGTTTAGTTATGATATAGCTCGAATATATTTTTTCGAACTAAAAAAATCAAACTGAAAGACAAACACAACTACGCGATGAGTTTGAATGAACTTTGTGCTGGTAGGAAGAGGAATAGTTCAGTATGGAAATGGTTTAAATACGATGCGTCATCCAAAAATTCAGTATGTTTAGTCTTACTTGATGGTGAAAAAGTATGCAATACAAAGTTGTGTGGAATGAATGAAATATATATATATATATATATATATATATATATATATATATATATATATATATATATATATATATATATATATATATATATATATATATATATAGAGAGAGAGAGAGAGAGAGAGAGAGAGAGAGAGAGACAGAGAGAGAGAGAGAGAGAGAGAGATAGATAGAAAGATAGATAGGTAGATAGATAGATAGGTAGGTAGGTAGATAGATAGATAGATTGATTGATAGATAGATAGATAGATAGATAGATAGATAAATAGATAGATAAATAGATAGATAAATAGATAGATAAATAGATAGATAGATAGATAGATAAATAGATAGATAGATAGATAGATAAAACACACACAGATATACTTGTGTGTTTTGTTTTAATTTAATTATTTTGTTTATTTTAGAATAGAAAAACTTATAGGAATATTATTGTTTTTAGTACAAGTGTTCCAATATGAAATATTACACATAAATACCATGAAAAATAGTTTAAAACAGGTTTTTAAACTATTTTTCATGGTACTATTGATTGAAGGCAATTTTTTTTTTCAGTAAGTCATCAAAATAGATACCCCCTTCCCATTACAACAGCTTATCTTAATGTCTCAATAAATAAATGAAGGAGTTTATCAAGATAATACTAAATAAATGGATAAAGTCCTAAGACCTTTTCACTTTAATGTGTTCAAAAATTGGCACAGAATATTTAAGTATTATCCTGATGACCCTTACGACTTTAACAAGCTAAAAATCCAGACAAATTTTGTGGTTCCTGATGTTTACGAGATAATAATTTAATGCCCAAATTATGAATCAGCTATACAAGTTTTACAATCTGTTTACATCAAACCATCAAATGAGTTTATACGCGACATCTTTTAGCACACGGTGCATAGAAACATGCTCTGAGACCTTGCAACACATCCCCAGTAATTTTTTTTATTTATTATCAAAAGACTCTTCCTTATTTCAAAAATGTAAAAAACAACTTATTTAGGGGACCTAGGGAGAAATCACGTATTTTAGGCGAGTGCTTAGTAATTTTATTGTTCAAGATAGGTAACTAAGAGCTATGTGCCATACTCAAATTTTTAGTATGTTAATACTGGATGACTTGCAAAAAGTTTAGGTAATTGGAGCAACCCAGACCCGTCACGACCCCTAATTTCTCCTTTCCTAGAATTACGTAAGATAATAAATTTTTTTTTTTAAGTTTAATTATAAATTAGACCAAAATTTACTGGCAGATTTCAGGTTATATCAATAAATCTCTTTTCATTTAAAATTTATGATCATAAGAAGTTTAATATTCCACAAATTTACCCCCTGAAATAACATTGAAGGATCGTAATTTTTAAACTAAAAGTTTTTTTTTATGAAATTAAAATCTGTCGATGAATTTTGATCTAGTTTAATATAACACAAAAACTATTTTAGAAGTTTTTGTAGTTGTATACTACAATTGCGTTTTTTAGCGCTTCAATACAATTTGGGCTGTGTTCTCCATTTTTTCTCATTTGTGAAAACTGATTGAAATCCTGGTGAGAGCTTGTTTGGTCCAATAACCTGAGTCTACGGAATATAAAATGCACAAAACAAGTTTTAGTCTATTTATTGAATAATCGTTGTAATTTATGAAATTTTAAACTGGCATAAACTGTTGTTTATAATAAGTATTTAATTACTATTATTATAATTAAATCACATTATTTTAATCTTTTGTCAAACTTAAAATTTATTTATCATACCAAACACTCCACCTTTCATGTCAATGAGTTTGATAATATGTTGCTCAACTATGCGTACCATCAAAGAAATTGTAGGCCCTAGATTTCTATAACTCGTAGAGAACTGCTCTATTTGACATAAGTAGAGCTTAATAGTTTTCCAAAACAGCAATGGACTACTTTTTCAAAATCACTAACTACCTTAATGTATTTGGATATGGGATCTCCAAGACTGGAAACCTGAAAAAATAGCTAAAAGCTGTCAATGGTTTTAAGCAACTTATTGCAAGCATTGCCTTCTAATTGATGCTGCACTTGGTAGGATACTCTGCAGACGTTTATCGTAGACAATTATCGGTTGGCAAACTGTAACCCACACTCCTTTTTTTCAAAAGAATTTTTTTTCAATCTCTTTTAAAATTTTATGATACATGAGCCTGTAAATGCTTCCAGTCTACATATACTAAAAGTATATGTAGACTGAGAATATTTGCAAGCTCTATTATTTTTTTATTTTTGTCCCCTGTTAATAAAGGAGGTTGAACAACATTTGTGAACATTTTTGCATTGTTTTAATTTTGCACCACCAGATATCCATTGGTCATATAATCTGCACAAAAATTCTAAAGAACAATGATCAGCTTTTTGAAAGTTAAGAGATGAGGTCATGCAAAACGGGCAAGAGTGGTTTGATGTTGCAGTTTGTTTTCCAACCGTTTGAAGTAAAACCTTTAGATCTTCAGATACTATGTAATATAAGGAAGAAATGTTCACTTTATTCAAAATTATCCGCAGATTATGATATTTTTTGTTCAATAAAGGCAAAATGGCCAGTATAATAGTTTTATGTACACTTGTATCTTTGAAATCTTTGAACGCATATCCGTCACACTTTCTCAATTTGTTTGGGATTTTATTATTTTCTAACTCTGTTTTTAAAGTGATTGATAGAGTAACTTTGAGGAATCCCTGCTCTCCGTCTACACCTACACATCTACACACTCCATCTACACTCTACACACTCCATCTACACTCTACACACTCCATCTACACATCTACAATTTGATATCCACATCATTTGTTTCTTGATGTCTGTGATGAAGTACCATTGCTACAAGGTCTTCAACGTCATTGCAATGAACCATGGGAGTATCTTTTTCTACCAACTATTTATGAATAAAAATTCAAAATGAATAATACAGATTGCATTCTAGTTATTTTAAAAATTGTAATTAATAGATTACTACATATTTTTTTTCATTTACTCCTAATAATGTGATTACTGCAGAGTTTACTGACATTTCGATAATTTTTCTATTTACAAATGTATGTTTGGGGCATCGTTTCCAGGTTATAGCATTTAATGCCTCATTATTGTTTTGTGTGAGAACACTTAGGCACTTTTTAAGTAGTTCTTTACTGCTTAAGTCTTTGAATACAGGCACAAGAGTATTCTTTATTGTTAATGGCAAGGTTAGCATAGGTTTATATGTTTTATGTTCACTTATATGGTCACGTTGCCGTTTACACAAGCTGGTAATAGTTCCTGGGCAAAAATGGCGATGTATATTCATGTCTTTAATATCAGAGTTGTGAAAAAGCACTGCCCATATAGCTACTTCCATTTGATATATATTACCTAAATTTTGTTTAATAGTCATTTCAAAATATTTTTGTAAAAGGTTAAGTGCTTTATCGGTAAGCCTCCCTTTTCCTGCTACAGGTTTTCCATCACACATTTTTTTTTCACGTAGATGTTGACGCAGTGCGTGACCACGACTTTCTATCTTTTTTTGGATGTGTCTAACACATTCTGCTTTTTTGATCTTTATATCTTTGTATGGACATGAAGCTAAAACTGCAGAATACGAAGAGGTATCACTATCACCAAAAAATTAGTATATTGCAACTTATATTTTTTAACAGACAGACGGAAAATAGTATTTGCACCTGTACCTTCCATAGCATGAGATGATCTTTGATGATTAGCAAGACATTTATGGTTGGCCTTTCAATCCTCATTTTTTAGATTTCCTTTATTGCTTTTCCAAAGAATACATCCTTTAAAATGTTTTGACAACACAACAGCATTTATAAATTTGTCTGTTAAAGTAGATATGGCTTTCACAACATCATTAAATGATGAGTGACCTCTATTTTACCACATTCCATCAAATGAAACCTGAAATCGAGTTATACCATTATTTGAAGCGTTATTTTTAATCAGGTTTTATAAGCATTGTATTATTTTTTGTTAATTTTATCATATGCATTGTATGTAATTAAAGGAATGTTTATTAGGTGGTGGTATAGTTTCATTGGTTCATAACCTTCTCCTATTTTTCTGAATGCTAATACAAAAAGTACATTTATTTCATAGCTATTTCTTCCTATAGAATTATCGAAAATATTTGAAATAGGTCTGAAAGTTTGAAGTGAATGATTTCTTTATTTTAAAAAGATACTTTTTCTCAATATCAAAAAAAAAAAATTGGCAACTAGCTTTATACACTATTAATCGACAATAAATTCCGTATGAAATGACCTTAATATTAAATTGTTTTATTTTTTTAAAGATTTTGAGAAAATATTCGGTATATTATACCACCTTAATAACTTTGTTTTTATGTGCTTCCTGAATAAACCATTTAACTACCTTTTCTCTTGATAATTCATCAAGACTTTACAATATCAAGACTACATAATCATCCATTCTATACTTTTCAGATTTAGTAAAATATTGTTTCATGACCTTTTGTATTACTTAACACTAAAACACATTGCTAAAAGATCTGGAACTTACTTCATGTAATTTAAAAATTACATGAAGTATGTTCATTGCATGAAGTAAGTTCCATCATAACGCACAGATTTTTATTTTTTAGTATGCAATGCAAACTCAAAGATGTTTTGAAAAGTTGATCGTAATGTAGATACATTTCAAGGTATATTTTATTTATTAATATTTAGGATTATCATTTGACAGCTAAAGTATGGTTTATTGACGTTTAGTACAATTTTAGGCAACAATTATTTGCTTAAGTTTCCATAAAAATGAGTTTTAACTTGTTTTAATAAAGTTAATAAGTTTTAATATAGCTAACCAATCTTATTTAGTTTAGTAAAGCTAACTAATGTTATTTTCAATACAAGATATAGCTAATAAGTATTTAGCATATAGATTTATAAATATTGTAAAGGAAAACGGTATTGCTTTCAAAAGTAAAAACTAATAAGTTGAAATTGTTTTTCTTTTTAGTGAATTTGAGCTAAGCTAATTACACTATACTTTTAGAAATAGTTTTAATAGTTAAACCTCTGTCAGGTATTTACTTTTTAAATCATAAAATAACTAATCAGGCTCATGATATCCTGCAAGTTATTAAAAGCATTTTTTCAAAATCAATTTAAGTTAATGGTAATTTTTAGTTTAAAATTGCTTATAAACATGTTACATAGTTTTAAAATTAAAAGTTTTTAACAGAGGATGTATATTTCTTGTAACTAAAAAGTCCAGCATAGTATGAGCCAGTTTCTGCTGTTTAGAAAATGAATTATTTAGTGTGTTAAGAAGAGTTTATTTAGTATTTTAATTAGCTTTTAAATAGTTTGTAAATAAGATTTGATAATTGATGATATCAAATAGTTTGGATAAATATCACATCTTTATTGTAGTCATTTTGCAATTTATTTATTTAGCCTGCTGACAGAGAAAACATTATTAATGACAAGGCTGGGTATTCCAGATATTGATTTTAATTTTTTCAACTGATGAATGAACTTTCTAGACATGCTGGGAGTAACGCAAAAAAATATATGGAAAATTTATTAAAGATGTATATTTCAATATACCTGTTGAGTATCAAATCACATTTTTATAGACTAGTCTAGATCATTTTGTCTACTAACTCTAACCTCTCAGTTGTGTTCATGCCTGGTTTTTCAGATCTTAATTAAGATATCTATTTTTTTTGTTTATTGCATAATTTTTCCATGATTTAATTAATTTTTATTCATTTGTGATTTGAGTATTTCATTAATTTAGTTTTGTGATTTTTTTCATTAATTTACATTTGTGATTTGACTGTATTTTTACTGTATTATTTTTTTTTTTATTAAATTTGTTTTGTCTTTAAAGGTTAATGGCAAATAAGTTAAATGCAAAGTTTTATTTGACCAGATCTAAAACAAAACAAACAAGAGACTAGATTTCAAATTTTAAATATTTACAAAGGTGTTATTGGTATGTACATTACATTTCTTCGCATTGCTCCCACCGATATATATATATATATATATATATATATATATATATATATATATATATATATATATGTATATATATATATATATATATATATATATATATATATATATATATATATATATATATATATATATATATATATATATACATATATATATATATATATGCAACGCAAAGAAATGTAATGTACATACCAATAACACCTTTGTAAATATTTAAAATTTGAAATCCAGTCTCTTGTTTGTTTTGTAAAAAAAATTACAACTCATTACTGATCCGTGTCTAATTTGACATTATTGTCAAAGAGAGCAACCATTTTAGATAAAGATACACCACACATATACACATGCATAACACAAATTATATATATATATATATATATATATATATATATATATATATATATATATATATATATATATATATATATATATATATATGTATATATATATATATATATATATATATATATATATATATATATATACGTACATATATATATATATATATATATAACTTGTGTTATATATATATATATATATATATATATATATATATATATATAATTTGTGTTATATATATATATATATATATATATATATATATATATATATATATATATATATATATATAAAATTTGTGTTATGCATGTGTATATGTGTGGTGTATCTTTATCTAAAATGGTTGCTCTCTTTGACACTAATGTCAAATTAGACGCGGATCATTAATGAGTTGTTATTTTTTTTACTATTGATCAATTAATGTTCACATTGGCTCGTGAGCTCGCGCTTGTGAATATGAAGTATATTGATACTTGTAAAATGTACAAATATCTTAATTTAAATATGTTGTTGTTGAGAGGCAGTTACTTGATGATTTAAAATAAAAAAACACAATTCACAAAGGTATATCGTAGACTGTTTGAAGTTTTCACCATATCGATTGGATGGTGAAAAACCTGCATTAAATCAAAATGAAAGTCTGATGATAGAAGGCAATAAAGATACAGATGAATTTGATATTGGTGATGAAGATAACAACAACATGATTTTATCAGTGACGGATCCAGGAGGAAGAAGGAATGGGGTATGTATCCCCCAGAAAAAAGAATATAAAAGTTCTGAAATATCTTAAAGATTCAGGACCTTTTTTTTTTAGGAGAGACATAACTGTTACAAAATACAAAAATGTTTTAACATTCACTTAAAGCATCTCCTTTAATTCTTACATTATTTTTTTATCTTTTTTTTTAAGGATCTATGGATATGTTTCTCTTAGTCATTAATTTGTTAAAGAAATGAAACTCATTGCAGATTCTTTTATTGCAGATTATAATACCAATTTTAATTGAAATGTTTGTTTTGTTATATTATTCAACTAAAATAATTGACATGGGTGTTGAAGAAATTGATGAACCCTGTGCAGTCAATTATTTAATCATTGCTGGTTGTGATGTTAGCTCTTGTGCTAGATCTTCAAATGTTTATGTTATTTTCAAGTTTGATAGGTCAATGTTAGATTTATTAAATGGAAATACCCGTGTTTTTTCGTGACTGCGTGTGTTCTGGTGAAACACTTGCCACATTCATTTAAAACCTTTAATTAATAGAAAAATTAGCTTTATCAACATTTTTGCGTTTTTAATGATTCATAATATAATTTTTATAGAAATAGAAAGGAAATTAAAGAGCGGAATGAACGAAAAAAAGAACGGAAAGAACGAAACGGAATAAAGATATCAATTTGAACTCGTTAAGACAAACTTCAAACAAGCTTGAAAATAACACAAGTGTAGGTTCTGATAATGTAAACATAGATGTTTTCAAATCAGTTTTTCATATTATAAAAACCTCTTTACATCATATTTCTAATCTTTCTCTTCAATCTGGTAGAGTTCCAGAAATATCAAAAATTGCACAAATCATGCCTATTTTTGAGTCTGGTGATGACACGGATTCTTCAAATTACAGATCAATATCAGTTTTGCTATGCTTTCCTAAGTTACTCAAACGTATAATGTATAATAAACTAAAAAGCTACTTAACAGTAAATAACATGTTGTACAACGGCTTTAAAAAAAATCATTCAACTGATCACGCTTTGACCGAGCTAGTAACTCGTGTAACCAATGCCTTCAATGATAACCGTTTTACACTAGGAGACTTTAATGATCTGTCTAACGCCTTTGACACAGTCGAACATGTCATTCTTTTAAAAAAAACTTGAACATTATAGAATAAAAAACATGGTTTAAAGAATACTTATCAAACAGACAGCAATACATTTAACTTATTAAATTTTATTTTGTTTTGCGGATGACTCCAATCTGTTTTATTCTCATAGGGATATTAAAACCCTCTTTAAAGTAGTTAATGAAAAAGTGAATTAAGTAAACGAATGGTTTTTTTGTAATAAACTTTCACTTAACATTAACAAAACGAAATTTATTCCATTTCACAAACCAACCAAAATAGGAATTAGTAATACAAATATTACAAACAACTGTAAACTTTTTAGGTGCTATTTTAGATAAAAATTTATCATGGAGGAAACATATAAAAAAAATCTTGAATGAAAACTTTTCAATAAACATTGCAATAATGTATAAACCATTTTTAGATCTTTAAAAAGTTTATATTTTTTTTTTATACATAGCTATTTAACTTACAGCAATATTGTATGGGCAAGCACCAGCTACACTAAGTTAAAAAAAATTGTACTATACAAAAACATGTATGTATTACCGTATTTGGAGCAACAAGAAGCCTTGTGAGCCACTTCTACGTAAACGCAATGTTTTAAATGTGTTTAAAATCAACATATTTCTAGTCATACAGTTCATGTATAAAATAAAGCACGGATTGTCTACAACATAAGAGAAGTAAGCCATAAATACCCCACCAAGTATTCAGAAAATAATTTTGTTACTCAAAAGTATAATCTAAAGTAATATTCTTATTCTATTCAATACCGGGGACCAATTTTGTCGAAAAACTTTCAGCATACTGTTAATATTAAAGAAAAAACATTTCCCCAATTAAAATCTAAATTAAGACGTTATTTGAATCGCTAACTTGAAAAAGGACATAACATGTTCCCTTTTTCAAGTTACCGATTCATTTAGTACTTACGGATTTTAATATAGTAGATTTTATCTGTCACTTTTAAAAGTTATTAAACTAAATTAGCACTATAAATTTAAAAATCTAGATCATTTAACAAAAGAGCCAATATTAAGAATTTCAATGCTTTTATCAGACTTTCAGTGAAAATATTTACTTTTGATGTTACCTACAATTTTCTTTCGTATATTTTATGATATTGCAACAGAATTTTTATTATTTTGATTTCGAATAATGTTTAGTTTATAACCAAAAACAGAAAATTTTATCATTTTAATAATTTCTTTTTTTTTTTTTTTAATTATTTCATTTCTTTTTTTGTTTTGTTTCCTAAGATCTTAAATTGTTTTGTTTTTTTTTAAATGGTGTTCCTTATATAATACGGATATTTAGAAGAGTTACTATTGGGACTCGGTGATAAGGCTAGTTTGTGCCTTCTTCTTTTTAACTTTTTAATTGTGTACTTTTTTATATTGTTGTACATTGTAAACATATTTAAATTGTGAAGTTAACTAACAAAAAAAGAGCAACTAGTATCGTAGATTATTATTTTCTTAATTATTGACAGAAGTTATTAAAGAAGTAAACACTTCTTGCCACAAATAATCGATTATTGTTTATTAATATGGTATAATATTATTGTTTAAATATGGTTTTTTCAAATTGATGCACCAAAAAACCCTTTTTTAGCCTTACAAAAAAGTCATCAAGCAGAAATACTTTTTTTACATGTTATGATAGAAGTAGTCCGACTCTATATTGATTTTCTTTTGCATTATGATATTTCTTAAAACTTTTTGTTTAAATAAAATTTAAGTAAAAATGACTGACTTAAAATAGTGACCGAAAATACACTAAATTAGAAGTATTTTTTACTGAAACATTGTGGTTGAGGTTAGATTTCTAAGGGTGACGAAATAAATTAACGAAACCACTCATGTTATTGAAGTTGAAATTCGAAGCAGATATTTGTTGTTCAAAATAATGACTCTCTTTAGAATTTTCTAAACGATAATTAACAATATTTAATGCAAGATAAATCTTTAATAATTTTAATAATGTAAGCAAGATTCCAGAATGACCATATCAGAGCTCGTTATCTTGGTATAATTAGAAAAAGAATAAAGGCAATCAAAAAGGGTTATATTGACCATCAATAGGCCAAAGAAAGTTATTTACCTAATAGATTTTAGAACTGTATTACACTTTTTTTATGTTATATATATATATATATATATATATATATATATATATATATATATATATATATATATATATATATATATGTATGTATATATATATATATATATATATATATATATATATATATATATATATATTATTGCTGAAATGAATAATACTAATGCTCCATTCATGCCTGTTTCCACGAAACTTGGGGCATCCATTATCCGAGATAATAGCGCGAAAGACTCTTTTGGTACTTTTTGACATTATTAGTGAATTTGCTTCCAAAAAAGCCGGAAAACTTATACTGAAGTTTGTGCAACATTAATGACAAATTGTATTTTACACTTGATGTGATAAATTTTGTGATCAATAAGCTATTTTTTAATTTTCTTTTTGGGACGAGGGTAAGAAGTAGGACGGAGGGATGAAACTGATTGGGGCGCAAAGTTTTCTCGTTACGGCCCTAAACACTGGATGTGCTTAAAACAATAATGCAAATAAG